CACCAGCCCCTGACTGCAGCCACGGCCACTGGGCCTCAGTTTCCTCAGCAGACGGCGTGGATGCTGAACAGGCATCACGAAGGTCTCTTCCAGCTACAGTCGCAACTCCCTTCTGTCTCTTTCTCTCTCTCTCTTTTTTTTTTAAAGGAGCTCATGAGTTGGCATCATTTAAAAACACGTTTTAATTGATTTTTAGAGAGAGAGGAGGGGAGAGGGATAGAAACAAGGGTGAGAGAGAAACACAGTTGGCCGCCTCCTGCATGCCCCCTCCCGGGGATGGAGCCCCCAGCCCTGGGAATTGGACGGGTGACCACGAGGCCACACCTTGGGCCCTTCTGAGCCGCTTTCCTCAGTTACCCCCCTGGAGACCTTTCAGAGCCGCCCTCACGTTCGTCTGCTTCTGGCCGGCTGGCTGGGGACAGGGCACCCCAAGCGTGGGCAGCGCTGAGTGGCGCCAGCGTTTGTGAAACGCACAGGGAGTGAGCCAGTCCAGCGCCTCCATTCGCCCACCCTTCCTGACAGGCCCCAGGGCCACTGGATCAGCTCATGCGCTCAGCGTGCGGGAGCTAGTGAGCTGTTCTCCTTTAATTGGCGTTAAAAAAACGCTGTTTTTATTTAGTCCCACTTTTAAAATAATTCTTTATTTTTTTATTTATTAAAAATATTTTTATTGATTTCAGAGAGGAAGGGAGAGGGAGAGAGAGAATCATTGATTGGCTGCCTCCTGCATCCCCCTGCGGGGATCAAGTCTGCAACCCGGTCACGTGCCCCTGACCGGAAGTGAACACCCTTCAGTTGCTGCTCTAGCCACTGAGCCAAACCGGCTAGGCTTATAATTCTTTATTTTGAAACAAATACAGACTGATAGGCTGTTGCACAGAAATGGACAGGGTGTTGCCTTCACTCGGCCTCCCTAAGGTAGAAGTCTCCCTAACAGTACAGTTTCAACACCGGGACGCTGACACTGACATGGGCATATTCATACTTCACCAGTATTAGTGCACTGACATGCATCATGTGTGTGTGTGTGTGTGTGTGTGGCGGGGGCCCATGTGCTTCATCACGTGTAGCCTTGCGTGCGTTGCATAACCCCCGCTCCATCAAGATACAGAGCTGTTTTGCATGGCAGAGCTCCTGTGCTCCCCGTGTAGCTAGACCTCCCCCAGCCACCCGTCTGTTCTCCATCCCTGCATCCCACCCCAGGGGGCTGTGCGAGGCTGTGGTGTGTCCTGTGCGATGGGCTGTTCTCACCCAGCACTGTGCCCTGAGGCCCATCCAGGCCAGCGCCCTGACTGGCATTCCCTTCAGGCCATCGCGAGGAAGAAAGCACTGCTGAGATTGGGAGAGTGACAGTTACTGCTGTTTACTCCGTTATCGGGACTGCTGTTTGCTCTGACACGTGTGATATGTGGCGAAGGAGAGTCACATGCAGTTGACCCTTGAACAGTGCGGGCATTAGAGGCGCCGACCCCCGTGGGGTTGAAAATCTGCGTCTAACTTTTGATTCCCCAGAAACTGAACCACAGCTGTCCCTCAGCATCCCAGGGGGATTGGCTCCCGGACCCATGGGTACCCAAATCCGCGGATGCTCAAGTCCCTCATGTACAACGGTGTAGGTCCGGGTCTAGTCGGCCTCCACATCGTGGATGCCCAGCTGTGGATGTGGAGCCCAGGGACACGGAGGGCCGACTGTGTACGTGTTGAAAGAAGTCCGTGTTCAGTGGATCTGCGCTTGTGTTGTTCAAGGGGCACCGGCAGAACAATTAACGCGCGCCCTCTGCACCGCCAGGCCTGCAGGGAAGGGAGAAGTGATGGTCTTCATTCTTGGGAGACCAGTCCCGGTGCCAGGGGCAGACCTGCCGCTCATCCCCCCGCTGGGTGGTGTGGCCACGGTGCGGGGTCGCGCTTGGAGGCGGTTTCCTTCACGCCTCCCGGCGCTCCCCGCAGATGAAGGGAACAAGTGGAGGTGTAATTAGCCATTTGGCAAAACCCTGACCTCCCAGTTCCTGGAGAAAGCATGCGGTTTCGCTGCGGGCGCTGCTGACCTGGCGGAGGACCCTCAGCGCTCCCGTCCCTGCGTGTCGGCTGGAACGGCTCGGGGCATTGCGTTTCAGCATGACTAAAGTTTACAAAATGTTATTTGCTCATAGACGCATTGCATGAGTCAGACATTGGACATGGAGAAACGGAACATAAAAATTCAGATTCAGTGTAAACTTCCGTGTAAAAAATAAAATCGGCCCTTGATTTTCCTGCGTAGTAATAACCATCAGGATCAGAATTTGCCAGTCTGCTTTGTAACTTTTGAAGTTTGGAAAAAAAAAAAAAAGTAAGATTCATTTTAGTCTTGACTGTACGGTTTAAAAACGCTGACTTTTTGAAAAAGAATGCTCCTCTGGCATCTTTTCTTTTGCACTCTCATGCATAATCTGCGATTCTTAGAAGCTGATTAAGGAAGTCTGTGACGGAGAAGGGTGAGGGGGGTGGGCCCCCCGGCAGGGGAGGAAGGAAAGGTTTGGTCCAGTTGAACTTTTCTGCCCAGGCTGGTGGTTGCCGCTTCTAGGAGCGGCTGTGTGTCCTTCCCATGTCCCCCTGGCTGCTCTGAAGGGAGATAACTCTTTTGTGACAAGTGGTCATGTCCTGGCGATAAGTGTTCTCACGCTGGAGCCTTAGAATTGCTTTTCTTTCCTCTTAAAATGATTTTTACTCTGTTTTTTTGGCAGCAATGTGTGTCAGGATTTTGTTTTCGCAGAGTTATTGGAAAGACCATCTTTGTGGGATTCAATGGCATGTCCTTGGCTTTTAAAGTGTCAAATAGAGTCAGACCAGAGGGGCGGGTTTGAGGGGTTTGAACCAGCGTGACTGGGGAGCATGACTCTGGTGTGCGCTCCTGGGACGGGCCCTGAGCTCCTCGGGATCCTACCTTCTCGTTCCTGCAGGTTCTTGGGTGAGGCCGTCCTCCTGTCGTGCACATTTCAACACTTGGAGGGCTCCAGACACCGAGCGTCTATTTCTGTACGTCTCTGGCGGACTGGTTTGGCCAAGAGGCTGGCCCTGCGCTGCCCCACAGCTCTGTGTGGCCGCCCTGGCCGTGCGGTGTTCACCAGGTGCTTCCAGGATGCGCGGTGGTGGCCACACACTGTGCTTCCTCCGAAAGCCTGAGCGTGTGGAATTCTGGGACATTTGGGCTTAGGTTTTGGATCTGGAATGCTCCTGGGCCTGTTATGTGACCTACTGTGTGGGGTTCAGAGAAGTGTCCCCCTGAGGAGCTCAGACGTGCACTCACCTTGATCGAGCACCTCCTGAACACACAGGAGAGGAAGAGGCACCAGGTGGACGCGGTGGGCCCTGGCCCCAGGGGTTCTTTGGTTTAGAGGTGGGCAGGTCCTAGAGGGAGGGCAGAGGGAATGAGGGAGGCGGTCCCAAGTCAGACCTTGGAGTGCTTCCTGTTGGCCTGTGGCCTTTAGTCTTTTTCTGTGGAAGTGTGTCTACCCCCTCCTACCCCATCCAGTGTGATGACACGCACGCAGGGCACACAGGCACAGCCCTCGGGTCTCGCCCTCACTGGTCAGCACGGTCGGGCCTGACCGAGAGCAGTATGCTTCATCGTGAACCCGGGGCGGGGGTGGGGGAGCGGTCAGCCACAGAGGGCGGGGCATGGAGCAAGTTAACGGAGGTTCCCAGCTTCACATGAACGGATGCTACTCACAGGCAAACAGAGGGCAACTGGTGGCCAACACTCCATGGCAAAGCTGTATGTACCTGCCGATCCTGCGTTCGCCTTCTTCCCGTCTTCCTGACTACGGTGTGAAAGCTGACATGGCTGAAATGTCATGAGATGCAGCCTGTGCCGTCGTGTTGAGGAGAATTTCTGGCCAGAAGTTCAAGCGGTGCTCCCCGTGGAGGTGGGCGCTGAGGCTGAGCTAGAACGGGCTCCTGTGCTGCGGTCCAGGGGCCGGAGGGTCCGGCCCAGAGGCAGGAAGTGGCCTGTTCTCCACCGGAGACTGAGTTGGGAAGAGGACCCGAGTGTGGCGACAGTGAGGGCACGTGGGGGAAAGGGAGGCGAGTCCTAGCCTTGCCCAACGTGCTGCCGTGCCCACCGGTGCAGTTGACTCTGGTCCCACCTGCCTCCACACATCACTTCCTGCCAACCCTTCATCGTTTTCCTTCCGTGTTGTTGGCAGAGAGGAGCGAGGTGGGGCACCGTCACCCAGGAATGAGAGTGTAGGCAGTGGGTCAGGGAGCTGCTGGGTGGGTCCAGTGCCTCTTCTGTGGGGGTGGGTTCGGCAGATTGAAGAAGGGCAGGGAGGCCTGGCCGGGTGGCTCAGTGGGTTAGGGCACATACAAGAAGCAACCAATGGATGCGTGAATCAGCGCAAAAACAAGTTAGTGTTCCTTTCTCTCTCTCTCTCTCAAAAAAAATTTTTTTTTTTTAAAGAGCTGCTGGCTGTGCTGGCTGTGGTCACACTCCCCCAGGGGTGCGGACAGCCCCTGGTTCAGTCCCCTCTCCCACCTTTGCCCGCTGGGGCCTGCAGAGCCTGAGGTCTCAGCCCAGTGAGGTGGGTGGTGCACCGTCCTGGTCCTCGGAGTTGGGACGCTGACCTTTCTTCCCACGGCCGTGAGGTGTGCCTGCGGGTGGCTGAAAGGAGGCCAGCATCCCCGGGGGCCGCCTGGTGTTTGTTTCGTCCTGTCGGGTGCTTTTCTTACTTTAAAATCCTTCTGGGGGCGACCAGGGCTCTACTCAGAGGGGGTGCCTGGAGCACTTAGCCCCCTGAGGCTGCGTAGGGGGTTTAGGTTTGCATTTTCTGTGGCCAGCCCTCCTCCATGGGATGTGGTTGAGAGAGCAGCTTGGAAAGCACTAAAAACAACACTGAATTGATGTTGACTGTCTTTTAAAATAGCCAATAGAGAATCATAGCAAGAAAATTACTATTTTGGAACATTTTTGAATTGCATTTATTGCTCTTGAAAAATACAGTTCTGTAGTTTTTTTCTCTCTTTTTAAAAATTGATTTTTAGAGAAAAGGGAGAGGGTTAGAGAGACAGAAATATCAATGAAAGAAAGATGATCAATCAGTTGCCCGCTGCATGCTCTAACCACTGAGCCACCGGCCAGGGCGGAAACCACCATTTCATCTCGTCTGTGCAGGTTTCTCGTTGCCTGAGGTGGGAGGGTCAGTCCTATGGTTACACTGGCTTCTGAGGAGCATCTGGGCTGGTGTTAGAGCAGGAGACAGGCAGTCACTGTGGCGTGAGTGCAGGTCACCACCAGGTGGTCACACTGCCACACGTCTCCTTCCTGTGGGCAGGTGTGCTCCCGGCACCAGCCCTTCCTGTATGCACCTGAGCTGCATGGGACACTTGACATTAGTATTTGGTTCTCCTCTCTACCGACGGGGAAACTGAGGCGCAGGAGCCCAAGGCCACCTGACTGCCTAGGAGGTGGTAGAGACCATGGAGACCCACGTCTCTCGGAACCCCAGTGCTGGGCTAGTTCTGCCAGAGGGGCCAGCGGGTGGGTCGGGGAGGACTGAGCTGGAGAACCTGATGTGGGGGTTAATGGGGGTGACTGGGAACCGGGAGTCTCACCGCACTGAGTTTTGCTATAGAGCAGTGGTTCTCAACCTTGGCTGCACATTAGAATCACCTGGGCATCTTTTTAAAATCCTGATTTCTGGGCCTCATCCTCCGGAAATTCTGTTTCTTTGTTATGGGGAGGGGGCCACAACATTAGTAACAAAGAAACAGAATTTCCGGAGGATGAGGCCCAGAAATCAGGATTTTAAAAAGATGCCCAGGTGATTCTAATGTGCAGCCAAGGTTGAGAACCACTGCTGTAGCGGAAAGAGGAGCTGCTGACCGCTGAGGGCACAGGGTGTGGCTCTCTGTGGCCCCAGCAAACCAGGCAGCGCTGCGCTCTGTCGTGCAGCTGGGAGCCGCCCACTGGGCCCAGCAGGACCTGAGCCCGTCCCTCTGGAGACTTGGGTGTGGCTTCCGCCCAGTCCCTGCTCCCAGCGGCAGACGGGCCACATTCCTTCTCAGGCCCCCAAGGCCCCTCCAGTGAACCCCCTTCTAGCCATGGATTTCTGACATGTCAGCCACATCCCCTGCCTCCAGGCAGTTCCCTGTAGGTAAGGGCTCATCTGATTAGACCAGGCCGCGGCCCACGCCCACGAGACCAGCTGACTCCCTGCTTTAGTCACCTTGCCGGGCTCCTGTTGCCCTGGCAGGTAACTCACAGGATCCTTGCCTTAAGGTTAATTCACTCTTCAACAAGCTTACTGAGCGCTGAAAACAGCGAAGCAGCAAGGATACCCTCACGTGTCTTACTTTGAGTGAGGAAAGGAAAGTGAACAGTGTGACAGAGGACCTTCCAAACTACATTCAGAGGAAACAAAGCAGGGGAAGGGGTGTGCCGGGCCCTGCAGTGCTGGCCGCTGGGTAGGGAGGCCGGTGTGGCTGCAGCAGGAGTTGGGAGAGACCTGGGTGGAGGGGAGAGGCAGGAGCCAGTGGAGGGTGAGCAGGGGGGCTTAGCCTCAGAAGGGTCCTCTCACGGCCGCCGTGTTGAGGGCAGGGGAGAGGAGGGAAGGTAGGAGGCGAGTCAGGAGGTCTGAACTAGGTGAGAAAGGTGAGGACTCCTGGGAAGTGGGGGACTAGAGCCTGTTTGCAGGCTGATGAGGAGAAGGGCCAGGAGGAAGTGGAGGGGTGAGAGAGGCAGAGGGGCAGGTGGAGGTGGGAGGAGGGAGCAGGGTCCCAGCTGCCAGTAAGGGGCGAGGTGGAGGAGAAGCAGATAGGCGAGCTGGTGGGCCTCCTTGGCTGCAGGTGTGAGGCCAGCCTGGCGACTGGGGGGGTGGGTTCCCAGGCGCCTCGCTGTGCAGGCTCAGGTGCCAGCTGGCCAAGAGCTGCGTTTGGCGGGGAGGGGTTCGCTCAGCAGGTGCAGTGATGGAGGAGGAGGGGCGGGCTGATGATGTGCTGGGGCTGAAGCGGGCCAAGAGGACCGGAGGGAGAGACATAGTGGGTCGTGGGTCCTGGGGGCAGTGGGTGTTGGGAGTTTGCACCTGGTGGAGGAGCTGAGAGGTCGGGGCTGGTGGGCGCCTGCATTGGAGTGTGCGGGGGTGACTGTTGGAGGGGCTGGGGTGGGGACCGGACCACCTGAGGAGCCGTGGTTGGCGGTGGGGGGGTGGTCATATGCCGAAGTATTTATCACGAAGGGTGGGGAGAGGGGTGCTGTAGTAGTAACTGGGCAGGTCTTCCCAGTTGTACGCATTTTTGTCCTTTTGTTGTTCTAGTCTTGTCCCCAATTAAATGTTTTAAAAAATGTAAAATCTGAGAATGTAGTTTAAGCAGTTGACTGAACACGTGACCCTCCTCGTCCCATCCTGGCCCTCAGAGTCAGTCATTCTCATTTTATAGCCCTTTCTTCTCTCATCTTTAAGATGTGATTGCTTACCAGTTCTAAGTCATATGTTCATATGGCCGATGAGTGTCCCCCCTAATCATGGTTTATTGATTTCGTGCTGTGGAAGATGAAGCTGTAACTTACCTGAGCTTCCTTCTCCCGTTCTCTAATGCAGGGGTGGGGAACATCCGGCCCGGGGGCTGTAGAAGGTCCGCAAAACCAGCCCTGCCAAGGCATTGGGGGGAGTTAATTACATGTTGGATGTTCTATAGCAGGCTCATGTGTAAGTTGGTAATTTTGTGTGGCCTGTGAATGATGTCATAACTATCCAAATGGCCCTTGGCAGGAAAAAGGTCCCCCACCCCTGCTCTGATATGTTGCAGTATTTGATCGCATTAATGAATAGCATTTAATTCATGTCTGAAAATACTCTTCTCAGTCGAGAAGGGCTCAACTTTTAATTTCTTGGAGTTAGCTGTTGCCTTTGCTTGGTTATTTTTTGAGGCACCTGTTGCCCTGCAGCCCCCGTTTTGGGACGTGACTGTGACAGCCTCTGTGTGGGGGGACAGCCAGGCAGCCTCAGTCCCCACCCTGTTGGGCACGCCCTGCTGGATGGGCTGCTCTGGGACTTCCGGCCACCGTGGAGGGTCTCGCTTCTGGCTGGACCTTTTCTTTGGGGGAACCCAGTTGTCTGTGCTCTGGGCCTGGGTGCGTCTGTACTCAGTGGGGGTGGATGTCCTGGTGCAGCTGAGAAAGATGATGCAGGAGCTGATACAGTTTTGAGATTTTGCATTTTTGAAAGTATTTATTACTTTCACACTTGATTGGCTGGGGTAGAAGTCCAGGCTGGGAGTGGCTCTCCCTGGCCCAGTGGTCTGGATGCGAGGACGCTGTGGCCAGGCGTGGCCAGGGCGGCCATACTCACTCTGGAAACTCGTGCTCTGGGTTTGGGTTGTTTTTTGACAATTTCCTTTCACCTGCTCTTGTTCAGTAATCTGCTGATAGTAGACATTCGGGCCTCTTGCCTTACATTTTCTGAACGTTTTCTCTCATTTTTCATTCCTCTGTCTTTGTGGTGCTCTGTTTCCTGAGGCTCAGCTTGGTCCTCTGGCCCTGGTTTTGGAGTTTGGATTTCTGCTCTCACTTTCAATTCGAGGGCTTCCTTATTGTCCGAGGCTCCTTCTTCGGTGGCATCTGCCCTTAAAGCCGTGTCTTCTCTTGTTCTTGTCAGAGCGCTGGCTGTTTTGGAGTGTCCTCTTCTCATGGCCTCTGTGGGGACCCTCTCTTAGGCTTGTTGTGGTCTCTGGCTCATGCGGAGGGCCCTTCTGGACGCCCGTTGGTTGGTGTCCGTCCACTAATAGGTGCCAGCATGGCCAGCATGGGCAGGGCTCCGGCAGGGCTCCCGGCATGGTGCCAGCGGAGGGTCCCTGCAGCCGTCCTCGGAGCAGCCCCAGTCTCGCCTGGTTGCGGGGGAGGTGGTGGGTCAGCCTGCTGCTGTTCTCGAGAGGTGTCTCCATCAGCGAGCTCGCCATGCACCGTGCTTTCCCTGGTGCGCTGCCTTGCGCCCAGCCCGGCACCCGGTCTCACTGGGTTTGGCACGTCTGTGTTCCTGCTGGGGTTGGGGCCTGATTCAGGGTCTGGGGCGGGGCCTGCTGCTCCTTTCATGGACGTCCAGCCTCTGCTCCTGACGCTGCTCCTCAGGCACCTGGCACCTCCAGTTCCCCATCCCTTCAGGCCTCTGTCCGACCCCTCTTCCCCCCGCAGGCAGCTGGGTCCCAGTTAGGCTGAGTCACTTATTGCATGGCCAGCTCTGTCCAGTGTCCAAAGTTGTGATACAGTCTTCTCCTTTTCAATATGGTTTTGACTAATTTTCTATATTACACACACACACACACACACACACACACACACGCACGTGCGTGCGCACGCACACGCCTTCATGACCATAAGGCCATTGCTTATACTTTGGATTAATCACTGCGTGAGAGAAGGCCTTGGGAAAGAATAATTTAACTTTTTGTACTTTTTCTTTTTAGTTTTAAATGAAGTAATAGCACCTTTTATTCAATCTAATTTGGACAGCAGTTCTCATCGTAGAGCTTGTTCGTGTGTTTCTAATGGAATTTTAAAGAGAACGTGGGATTCTGGGGCATTTTCTCTGGGTCTTACCTGAAGCAAGCACGCGGAGGCCTCGTTTCCCGCTGCGCAGAGCGGGGCCTGCTCCTATGGGGGAGTGCGCGTCTCTGAAACCCAGGACTCAGAGCGAGGAGGTGGGCGCCGGAGGGCTTGTCTCCTACACGCCATCTGGGCGGCCAGCAGTTGCTTGCCGGTAACGGGATGCAGTGAGTGGAAGTTTCTTTGTGGTTGCCCAGTATCGATCGCCACTGCTGTTGGTCATGAGTCACCAGAGGAGTTTGGATATCTAAATTGCCAGAGTTACTTTAGACCCTGAACTTCAACTTTTAAAAATAGAAATGTCCTTTAGAACCTGCTTCCTGGTGGACAGGACGAGGGACCCCAGGAGGCCTCTGAGGGTGCTGCCTGGGACCCACCTTCTGAGGGGAGAAACTGGGTGACGAAGAGCTGGTTCTGCTCAGGACGTGGGGCCAGTGCAGTTGGAGTGCGGGGCTGTGGGG